GCAGGAGGATTGCTACAAGTTTGAGGCCAACCTGGGCTACCTAGTGAGACCATGTCTCAAAAAAAAAAAAAAAAAAAAAAAAAAAAGAAAGAAAAAGAATAAGGAAAACAGGTGTCATTCTTACTAATGTACAATAAAGTTGGGAAAATGAATATGCCGTTAAAAAAAAATAAAATAAAATATATTTGGTACAGGGTCTACAGGGTCGTAATCACTACACAGATCAGACTCGTAGAGATCCTTCTGTTTGCAGCCTTCCAAGAGCTGGGATTACAGGGGCCGGAGAGATGGCTCAGTAGAATAAGTGCTTCCCTGGTAAGCGCAAGGGCCTCAGTTCAATCCCCGGTTCCGAAAAAAAAAAAAAAAGATCTGGGATTGCAGGTGCAGGCCCCCCCCACCCAGTTGTCATCTCAGCGCTCCCCGGGGTTAGAGCTGGCATGCCAGGGATCAAACCCTGGTCCCTGAGTCTGCCTAAGCAGCCTCTTAGTCCATTGAGCTATCTGGCTGGCTGTGAGACCATTTAGGATGGATATATAGAGGGGAGGACCCTAGGCCAAACAGGGAGCACCCTGACTTTAGAAGTGAGGCAGCCAGGCCAATGAAGAAGGCCAAGAGGTAGCCACAAAATACAATATTGTGGAATCCTGGATTGGGAAAAGTATTTCAAGTGGAGTGAGCACTCTTGAAAGGTTAAGGCAAAGGCAGGGGAGAGACCACGGGATATGACAATTGCAGAGGTTACTGGTAGTAACAAGAACAAATTTTGTGAGGTTGTGAAAGTATAAGCTGTAGATTAGGAAGAGCTGAGATTGAGATGAAGACAGCAATGTTGACAACTTTCGTAAATTAATTGGTGCAATCCAAAGCTAGAGACCAGCTGTTATTTCCTAGATTCTCAGCAGAATTTGTTCTAAAATGAATTGTCAGGGAAGGTGATACATTATTAAGCATAGTGCAGTCCAATATGGTGAGGGCTTAAACAATATCCAGAGGTCAAGTTTAGCCAGTGTGGCATGAGGTTTTTGACTTCCACAGAGAGGCAGCACTCTCAAAAAACCAAATAACAGATTCTGAGGGTTGCAGAAAAACCTAGGAGGCTAAAATGCTAGAAAGAATGGGTGGGCTCTACTTTTAATGAGCACAGGGAGGAAGACAAGTCTCAGGCGGACTACTGGAAGATCTCAAATAGAGGAACGGGAAGCAGATATTGTGGGCAAAGCCTTGTGGCTGCACAACCTCTCCGCTCAACCTTTTCTGTTGGACAGCATTCAGTAGCAGCAGAACTTAGGTCTTGCTTTTCTTGTGTCTTCACTTCTCTATAGCTCTCCGATTGCTGTAATTTAGTCAAGGGGGCTTGAGAGTAGGTATTTCTTAATTCTAGCTGCTTTGAAATTTTGACTTCATTCTACAGGAAATGGGAACTGATTGAAAGTTTTTAAGCAAGGAAACAGATCGGTGCAATTTTAATTTTATTATTTCTCCTACTATGAGCAAGCTGGAAGATAAGCTAGATTACAAGCGAAGATTAGAGAGGGAATGAAAACAATACTTGGCTTTTGGTCTACAGAATTAGAAGATTGTCAGGAGAGGACAACCATTTGTTAGGGTAGGGGGACAGTGGGGTAGTGCGGGCAGATGTAGTAGGAACAGTAGGCAGTGCCGCATAGCCGTAACCATTATCTCACTTGCCCCCGACAACCCTGAAAGGTGTTACTGGGCCCTTTCCACAAGTGAGGAATCAGGTTCAGGGAGGCTCCAACATGCCCAGGAGTCACGAGATGGCCTTCATCCCAGACTTGTCACTCTTTACTTTGCTAGTGGCCTTCAGATACATTTTGGCTCTCTTTTAGAAAAGAGTTGGCCTGTATCTGCCTTTCAAAAGTGATGTCCTGGGCCAGGAATGTACCTCAGTGGCACAGCATTTGCTGGGCAAGCACAAGACCCTAAGTTTAATTCCCCCCCCCAAAAAAAAAAATAAATAAAAATTATGTCCTAAAACATCAGATTCTTAGCTGGATTTCATTTCTTTGCTGATGGCTCCCATTGATCCTTCTAGAAAACAGTGATCACTTACATACGACAATAAGACCCGTTCCTATGTTTCCATTTTGAGAGTGTTTCATATCCAAGTGCAGAAGTGCATTCTCTTCTGAAATGGAATAGTAATTATTTCACCTTGTCGAGACGCCAGTTAAATCATTCAAATTCATCCTATGAAAGTCAAACCTTGGCACAGGAGCACAAGTCTGTACTACTTGTGGCACATGACTATAGTCCCAATACTCAGGAGACTGAGGCAGGAGGATCACTGCAAGTTCAAGGCCAGCCTGGGCCACAAAGTGCACTTAAAGCCTGGACTACATCGTGAAGCCCTTTGTGAAGCTAGCAAAGAGAAATTAAGTCAAACCTTGGCACACTGAGATAAGTAAATGCGTTTACCTCACCTCTCACTGCCTACTACCCACTCTCTCCAATTAAATCTGGTAATTCCATTCTAATGACAGAGATTGGTTTCATTATCTCAACCACAAGTGAATAGGTCCAGGGGCTCAGATGTCAAGACAACCTGAAAGTTAATCTTCACTTCATAAATTACTTAAGCACTGGATTTTTCTCTAGCATCAACTGGAAGGAACTTCCCCAGGGGAAATTTGGACTAAAGATTGAATCTTAGCCAAGGAAAATTACAGATGTATGTGGATATAATGTGATATTGCTGGTGCAGAATTCCCCAAGTCAACCCATTTACTTAAGATGTCACCTTCTTTCAAAAGCAGGAATTTCCAAAATTTTAGAAGCAAGATTTCCTTATGAGAGCCTTTATACTTTTCAGATCTTCTGACTAACAAAGCTTAAGCATTCTCTTCTAGGGGCTGGGAAGATAGGGCCTGAGTTCCATTCCCTGTTCTGAAAAAAAAAAAAAAAAAAAAAATCTCTTCTAGGTCATTAAATTCACTTTGAGTTATATACAGTTGCCCTGATCATGCCCAAAATGATGAAGGGACTTTGCTCAAATTTTATCATACAGATTCCTAAAGCACTTGTGTTTTTAAAAAATTGATGTGTACTGCCATCTAGTGGCAATAAAATATTCATTTTTATTGAATATTTCAACACATTACATTTATGTGTAAGGTTCACTGGGTTTCCTATAAGCAATATAATATCCCATTTTACAAAGCATGCTTATGTTTGTAAATATAAAAGAAAATCTAGCTCCCTCGCATGCATTACAGACTAAGAGAAGACAATATAAATATGGACAGGGGCTCCTACAGAGAGCTTCATAAACCACAGAGACTACCTAGTTTCTTCTGTTAGGTTTTCTTGCTTAGATCTTTGGTTTTTATTGTAATTATCCCACCTAACCAGTTTATTTCTCCTACATAAATAAATCTTATCCTGGCTGATGGATTTAATTGCCAGTCTGTTTGGAAAGGCAGAGCCATATAAATGCACAGGAGGTAACGTGATGTACTTTGGGCCCAGATCCTGGCTCAGAACTTGCCATCTATTTGCCCTGAGCTATTATGTAGTATCCCCATGTCTCAGCTCCTTAATCAGTAAAACTGGGATAATAATCATATGGGCCTCATAAAATTATTTAAGAGACATTATTGCCACAGAGACTATCACAAAGAAAATGTGAAGTAAAAGCACAGTACCATTTTATTGGCGGGTCACAGCAAGCCTAATTTGCATAACCATGTGGGATGCTGGGATAGCAGGGAAGCTCTGCCCCATCCCACTATCAAATGGATGTTTATCCTTATGAGGAACAAGGTCATGTCTCTGGACACTAGGCTTACCATGTCATCCAGCAGATCTCCTAGGTATAAACCCTAAAGAATTAAAAATAAGATTCAAACTGGAC